TGACTGCTACACTGGAATTCAAGGTTTACAAACTGCGCACTGTGTACATCCTCTTTACGGAAAAGTGCATTTTCGCCTACAATTTGAGAAAGATATCATTTAGTTCTCATAAAATGTTGCAATAGATATGGAGCATACTTTATACAGTAAAGGCAGCATTAAAAATTGTCGGATACGATGTTTTATGAGTGAACACCTGAAAATTGTAAAAAAGATCATAGTTACAATTTTTTAAAACCGAAAGATACCCTTTCCTTAAGTGTAAATTTGCAGAAGGCGTAGTTTGCTACCAAACGAGTACAAGGAATAATATTGTCATGCATGTTTCCCATAAAATGTATTTTAATTTATGAAGGCAGTCAAAATCAATGACAAAAGGACATACTACTTAAGTAGCCACTTTTTATAGTTCATACTTTTACTTATCAGTCAGAAAGAAGCTCATCAAAAAGCCGGCATCCCAATGTGACCTAAATATATTGACATGAGGCTGTAAGGCCGTCATTTTTAAAACCATACGTAATTAATATGTTTGAATCAAAAACGCATTTCAGAATTCCGGGTGACATTTCATAAGATAGGGAATCTACTCTACACATTTGCACATTATGTACAATATTTAGCTTAATGCGCTTTATACTACAGTACTGCATATGTTTGCTTTTACTGTGCCATCATTTTTCCTTGTGACTTGGAATGCTTATAGAATATATTTACTACTTAACTCATGAAGGTTGGGTTGAAGGCCCTTGTAAGTTGGCCGTCGAAACGTTGCGAAGGTCTAGCCATTAAGTCTCGCGAATTTCGGGAGCATTACTCTAATCGAGCAATGGTTTCCTCAGCTTAACATATATCTTGCCAATGAATATGGTATAAGCAATGCTTATTTTATTAGAGTTTTCAGAATAACCCTATACCCCTTTTCGATAATGCTGATAAAAGGATTGCGAGATTGGCTCTTGGAGTCGATAATACTCATCGCAAATCCTTGCCCAATCATTTCAGCATAGATGCACAATTCATGGTCCTCCGATAGAACCTTACTTTTACTGGTGTCATACCCCCTTATCGCCTCATGTTCAGCCATCCGTGGCCAGAATACTCCTCCGGTTTCTCCGGCATTTTGGCGTGGCTATAACTTCACTGGATCAGATTAACTAATATAGGCGTGTATTATGTATATGATGCGATCAAGGTACCTGATGAATGTCTGCCTGAGGCTCTCTGTCACAGGGCGAAACTGCCTTTTTATAAGTCAAATCGCTACTCAGTAGTGCCTCAGCAAATAACCAACTGACATCGTCTACAAATATTAGGTCCCTGTTAGTCACTAAGAACCATAGCTCAAGCCTTTAGGCGTACTTGCAAAGAATATCATTAGTGAGTCGACCCTTGTGCTCCGCGAGACTCTCTTTAATCTCCTCCAATTGTTCGGCTGGGTCATCCTCCTCCTCCTCTTCTCCAGGCTCATCCTCGTCCTCGTCCTGTCTTTCCGCCGTCGATTCAGGCGTCCCACTCTCCTCCCGATTGCTGGCGGCAACCTTCCTTTCCTAAAGTGAAACAGACTGCCTGTATACAAACTTTTATTTTTATTATTTTACACATACAGAGAAACGCTCCTTTATTTGATGTCTTCAAGGACACCCCATGCGGTATTAATGCGGGAATGTTCAGTTCATTTCAGCTTTATTAACAGAAAAAGGGGTCAGCGCCTTTGACTTGCCGATTTGGAACAAATTGGCGAAGAAACGTATCGATTGAGAGGAATAAGAATTCGAAAAATACGTCAATTGCGTGATTGCAGGCGAAATTCGAGAATCTGTGGGGTTGACAAAAGGTAAATCAAGCATGACTACTGATGTTGTAACTTAACATACTTACAGCATAGGTACTAGCTAAAGGCCCGTACACGTGTTTCGCCGGTATTCTGCCGCTGCTTGGCACAGCTGCAAGGGGTCCGGCTCCTCAGTGGATGCCCCAACTTTCCCTGTCTGCTTTCATATTGATATACCGGTTGTGAAAATAGGGCTTTTTAATCTCCTGGTAAATTAATTTCCGTTAGTGGTATGCATCAGTATATTTAAGGTCCATAGGCGTAGACTGAAATTTTAAGTTAATGTATATTTGGGTTGAAACCCGTCAACCACTGCGAAATGTGCTGTTTTTGCCAACGGACAGACCTGAGTAATGTATATTGATGGTGTAACTTATCATACTAACAGCCCAGGTAGTAGCAGCTGTGTCAAACAGCGGCAGAATACCGGCCAAAACACGTGTCTGGGCTTTCTAGCTAGTATCTAGGCTGTTAGTATGGTAAGTTACAGCATCAATATATACTACTTAAGTCTGTCCGTTGGCATTAAGTGCATATTTTGCAGAGGTTGACTGGTTTCAACCCAAATATACACTTACAATTTCGGTCTACGCCTATTGACCTTAAATACATTGATGTGCACCGCGAACAGAAATTAAATTCTCAGGAAATTATAAAAACGTAATCTGACTACTCACTTAGTACGAGTGGTATAATAAATGAAAGTAATTGTCTTGTTACACGAATAAGTATGCAGCCGGTGAATAAGATGTTTGATACATGTCCAGTTTGTTCTTAAATAAATTCGTACAGGTGGAGCGAACGAAATCTTCGTAAGACCGTTCCACGCCGAAAACACCCTGTTACTAAAGAAAAAAAGTTGTATCTATCGATCCTTGCTCTACCTGGGCGTATTAGCGCAAGGGAATGGTCTTTCATGGCCAATAAAATCGTCTTCAGCTGTTCATACCTAGCCTCAGTTCAGGACGCTCAGAGATTCAAACTCAGATTCGTCGGCTTTTAAACGTGAGGGTCAATGCTCCATAATCGAGCAGTAATACTCAGTGCCTTGTCGGTGACGATAGGGAACATGGTTATCTTCAGAACTATGTTCCTCGATCAGGTTATAGAATGTGGTTATGCCGTTCCACTAAAGCTGGAGGCGTCGCAGGAAGTCACGCAGCAGCAAATAATATTAAATAAGTAGATATGAGAAGCGCATAATAATTAACACTCATCTGCAGTGTGATAACTATCATTGAGGCAAATGTTCGCATCCCAGGTGCGTGTGTAGATAGAGAAGTAGAAG